GCATTCCTTCGCAATTACAATGTTTGAGAAGGATTTGAAGCATAATTATGACAAATTAATTAGTTTGAATATGTTTTTGGTCCATATATACCATTAAATCACCTAGTTTGTACGCGGGAACCCAACTTTAATGTGCACACGAATGAAAATGAAATCGGAAAATATCAACACGGTATGCGAGAGCCATTTCCGGTTGTGAATTGTATTCGTATGAAAGAGCGGACTTACTTACGGATAATAACATGATTTCTGACCATTGTAATACCCAAATAAAGTTGGAATGGCAAAAGAATTAACGCCAATAAAAAATAATTTAAATAATGGCTCAAATTCTGGAATTTCCATTGATGATTTACAACATTAGTGCTGTGGTAAGTCAATAAAATGGCCGTACAGTCCGTCAGTCGGATACCCGATTGTCACAAAGGCAATTTATTCAATATTTTATCATTATATATCGGTTCTCATACTAATTATTTATATGTTTAATTGTCCCCCGCCTTTCGAAGAAAGCAGGGGACTATTAAAATGGGTTCGTCCGTCTGTCTGTCTGTCTGTCTGTCCGTCTGTCTGTCCGTCACACTTTTTGGGACACAATAACTCTCTTCCTAATTGAGCTAGAATGTTCAAACTTGGTGTATGTGTTTATTAGGTCAATGCCTTGATGGAGTTCGAAGATGAGCATTTTCCGCTTAGGGTAAGCAGAGATAAGCAATTTGATTGGTTGATGCTTTGGGACACGATAACTCTCTTCCTAATTGGGCTAGAATGTTCAAACTTGGTGTATGTGTTGATTAGGTCAATGCCTTGATGGAGTTCGAAGATGAGCATTTTCCGCTTAGGGTAAGCAGAGATAAGCAATTTGATTGGTTGATGCTTTGGGACACGATAACTTTTAATTGAGCTAGAATGTTCAAACTTGGTGTATGTGTTTATTAGGTCAATGCCTTGATGGAGTTCGAAGATGAGCATTTTCCGCTTAGGGTAAGCAGAGATAAGCAATTTGATTGGTTGATACTTTGGGGCACGATAACTCTCTTCCTAATTGAGCTAGAATGTTCAAACTTGGTGTATGTGTTGATTAGGTCAATGCCTTGATGGAGTTCGAAGATGAGCATTTTCCGCTTAGGGTAAGCAGAGATAAGCAATTTGATTGGTTGATGCTTTGGGACACGATAACTTTAGTTCTAATTAAGTGAGATTGATGAAACTTGGTGTATAGTTTCATTACAGTAATACCTTGACTAAGTTTGATAATGAGCATTTTCTGCTCAGGGTAAGCAGAGCGATACGCAATTTGATTGGTCGAGACTTTGGAAAACAATAACTCTCCTACTTTGATTGTCGAGACTTTGGAAAACAATAACTCTCCTACTTTGATTGTCCCCCGCCTTTCGAAGAAAGCAGGGAACTATTAAAATGGGTTCGTCCGTCTGTCTGTTTGTCTGTCTGTCCGTTCCGCTTATGGTAAGCAGAGATAAACAATTTGATTGGTTGATCTTCGAATTGAGTAAATGTTCATGCTTATTGTCCCCCGCCTTTCGAAGAAAGCAGGGAACTATTAAAATGGGTTCGTCCGTCTGTCTGTTTGTCTGTCCGTTCCGCTTAGGGTAAGCAGAGATAAACAATTTGATTGGTTGATGCTTTGGGACACTATAACTTTAGTTCTAATTAAGTAGATAAACAATTTGATTGGTTGATGCTTTGGGACACTATAACTTTAGTTCTAATTAAGTGAGAGTGATGAAACTTGGTGTATAGTTTCATTACAGTAATACCTTGACTAAGATCGATAATGAGCATTTTCTGCTCAGATTAAGCAGAGCGATAAGCAATTTGATTTGCTGAGACTTTGGAACACAATAACTCTCCTTCGAATTGAGTTAAAATGTTCATTTTATCCTATTTTGATGAAACTTGAAATATATGTTTATGTCCCGGTACCTTTCGATATTGGCATGTATCGGATAAATATTCCATGGATTATGCCCCCTGATTGTACAAAAGATTATTTTTAGCTAGTGGGCCCTCTCAAGGTCACAATTTTTATACGCCCACGTATAAATGTGGAGGTATATTGTCCACGATTTCTTGTACATGCCCCAACGCCAAAAGTTATGATCCAATTGTTTTGAAATTGATATATGTTTACATTAGTAAGATGAAGGAGTCCAATTAATTTTAATAATTTCCGTTTATTACGTCAAGGGTTACGGCCCTTGTTTCATTTTGTTGAACGCCAAAAGTTATCATCCAATCTTTGTGAAATTTATATGCATTATTTAAATTAGTGAAACGAAGAAGCCCTTTGAATTTCTGTTTATTACGTCTAGAGTTAGAGTTATGGCCCTCTTTTCACTTTATTGTCCCCCGCCTTTCGAAGAAAGCAGGGGACTATTAAAATGGGTTCGTCCGTCTGTCTGTCTGTCACACTTTTTGGGACACAATAACTCTTTCTAATTTACCTAGAATGGTCAAACTTGGTGCAGGTGTTTATTAGGTCAGTGTCTTGATGGAATTCGAAGATGAGCATTTTCTGCTTAGGGGAAGCAATTTGATTGGTTGATGCTTTGGGGCACGATAACTTTAGTTCTAATTAAGTGAGAGTGATGAAACTTGACTAAGTTCGATTATGAGCATTTTCTGCTCAGGGTAAGCAGAGTGATAAGCAATTTGATTGGTTGAGACTTTGGAACACAATAACTCTCCTAATTGAGGTAGAATGTTTAAACTTGGCGTAGGTGAATGTTTAAACTTGATGTAGATGTTCATTAGGAGAATGTTTAAACTTGATGTAGATGTTCATTAGGTGAATGTCTTGACTGAGTTCAATGATAAACATTTCGAGCTGACGCTAGCTAAGCAGAGCTAATTGATTTCATTTGTCGATGGTTTGGGACAAGATAATCTTGATTCTGTCTGGTAGAGAATGATGAAACTTAATGTATGGTTTAAATGCTTGATACTTTTGAAAAAAATAAATGTGCGATTAATTAATATGTGTCATCTTTTTATTTCGGTATTTCGGCGGGGGACATCAGCCTCACTGTTGGCTTGTTCATTGTAATTTTGGGGAAATACATGTATATTTTAACACCTAATTTTATTTGTTAGCCAGTAAAAAACAAATTGAATCCAGGCCGACAAACACAGGGTGAAGGCTTTATTAAATTTATTAGGCCTAGATTTGATGTTGTTGACAAAAATGTACGAATAAAAAAAGGGGAGTTGCTCCACGATAGTCTACTTTTGGAGTAATAATGAAAATGTTCAAATGAAAAGTAGACCTACATTGTAAAAACAAAACAATTCTTCCATTCGAATTCCTAGCATTAGTGCCACCCTAGGCCTACATGTACCTTATAAGCCTACTGTGGTATGGGTACCTACCTAGTCTTCTTTTAAAAGTTTTAGAGAATTATTTAGATGCACCACAAATAATTTGTTTTTATTGGTCAATGTTGTTAGATAATAATGTATCAATGCTATGACAACCAAAATTGATAATATATTGCAGATTAAAAATATGTAATTTTAAAAATTCACAAACTTATTGACATATTCCCATAATTTCAATTGTGTATCTCCATTCCTTTTTATTTTACTAATGTCCCAACAACGCCCAAAAAATAAGCAATTGTGTGCCGCGGAAAATTGATCAAAAATGAACATATATTCAGCTCTTGAGAGAAGGCATATAGATATTGTTACTATTTTTTTTTTCTGTTTATCTTACTTGATAGCTACTGACTTTAAAATGCATAACAACCAGGTTCAATATTTCAGATATAACATGGACAAGACCACTTTTGATGAAAAGATTGACCAAAATCACTTTGACAAAATGGAATTTTTGAGAAAACCTATGTATTTTGGAGTTGCTGGGGAAATCGGAGTAATTGTTACACAAATGTGAAAATCGAAACATAATTAGCCTTAAAGGCTCAATACCAGTACTCTTGTTGTAACTGAATAATATGTCCCAATCTTTATTCTGGTCAACAAATTGTACTATTTTACAATATTCCAATTAATTGATGATACAAATTTCATCTTAACACACCTAATTTAAAAAATTAGAAAAATTCAACTAAATGATTTGAAAAGCCTGACGTAAAGCTTTTCAAATGTGACTTGGATTTAAAAATATTTTTGAACCCTCTGGACAAGTAAAATAGGATTTAATGGATAATTTACACAACAGGTAGGACACTAACACATCTAGTACTTAGAATAAGGCTATTTTTTTTATTTTCTGGAGCTGTCAAGCCAGCAAGAGTGTTATTGTTCCTTTAAAGTTGTATTTCATGAATTTACATCTACATTTTTGATAGTTTTGATATGAAATGAAATATGGCATCACAAAAAACACCAAAAATGACTTTTTCAAGACATTGAAAAACCTTTCTTCCTCGAAAAGTAAAAAATCGCAACTTTGAGCCTCCATAAAAGAATGATGAGATCTACTTGGATAACTAATAAAATCAAATGTACAATCATAATCTCAAAATCACCTTTTATAACAACAAAGTGGCAATGGAAAAGAGATACTGGATGATCGTGACAAAACTCGGTACTTTTATTTTATTCAATCAGTATCAAACAATGTGTCGTTACGCGTCAAAACAATGATCAGGTTAGTCGTTTAATAAAACAAAAGATTAATTAACAGATAATCCCGGGTTGATTGTTAATTTTACATTTCTTTTTACCTGATCAGTGGGGGTCCAGTTAATTAACTACTACTCACGGGATTAGCGGGGGTGTTACAAAGAACGACAAGATGGTATCATTCTCAACAATGGCCGTTGTTTTGTTGAATTTATTAGTAAAAAGTGACCGCTGGCCGCGTTAGAGGAGTGACCGTTGAATAAAGAGATGAAACAACAGCATTTTTACAGGGGAATTTATCGTGACCGCTTACAAGGAGATGTCGCTGAATAGGAGTGGTTGCTCATACAGATGTATAATGAAATGAACTTTTATTTTATAATTTTTAGATGGAGAATTCAGGAGTTGTACATATGTTGGAAAATAACAAAACTGATGGTAGGAATGATTTAATAAAAAAGTTTTATGCTTGAATATAAAAATGTTATATTTTTAAAGTAATTGCAGCGTCTGTCTTTTGATATGAGAAATCATGCTATGAGCAATTTGCATATTAAAATGGCAGTTGCGCCTAGGTCTTTAGCGTCTGTCAAAAAGGATTCTGATTTATCATGATTTCACTATACAGTGACATTGGCATGTTCAAAATAGATTGTATGCAGAATTTGAGATCAGTTGATTAATTTATCCCTGAGATATTGACCATTTAAAAGTCCTAAAGATGTTAAGTGTATTTTTATGTAGATTATTGAAGGTCAGTTAGTTATTGGATTTTTCAATATGTGAGTCTACAGCTATTTTAATAAGATAACTACTCAGAATTAGTTACATTTATTCTCTTAAATGTCTGTCGTCCATCATACTTTATGAAACCCATCAAACTTGATTTTAAATAATAATTTTAAAACTATATATATTTTTTTATTTGTACAGATTTAGCATGTATGTATAAATTATTTGTTCGTGTAACGAAGGGGTTAAAGACGATGTGTGATTGTATTAGTAAATATTTACGTGAACAAGGTAAAGCTTTAGTTATAGAAGAAGGAGAAGAAGCTAAAAATGCCATCACATATATTCAGGTTTGTTCTTATATTTATTGGAAATACTTTTAAAATGTTTAGATCTGTTTGGATTTATGCGCCCACATTGAAATGTGGACGTATATTGCCGTCGCCCCCGTCCGTCCGTCTGTCGGTCGTCCGTCCATCGTCCACAATTTCTTGTGAACGCTCTAATGCCAAAAGTTATCATCCAATTGTTTTAAAATTGATATATGTTGTTTAAATTAGTGAGATGAAGCCTATTTAATTTCAATAATTTCCGTGTATTACGTCTAGAGTTATGGCCCTTGTTTCACTTTATTGAACCTTGTGAACGCTCTAATGCCATAAGTTATCATCCGATCTTTCTGAATTTATATGCAGTATTTAGATTAGTAAATTGAAGAAGCTTATGAAATTTCAGCAATTTCCGTTTATTACGTCTAGAGTTATGGCCCTGTTTCACTTTATTGAACCTTCTGAACGTTCTAATGCCAAAATTTATCACCCGATCTTTGTGAAATTTATATGCACGATTTAAATTAGTGAAACGAAGAAGCCTATTGAATTTCAGCAATTTCCGTCAATTACTTCTAGAGTTATGGCCCCTGTTTCACTTTGCTGTACCATGGGAACGCTCTGCCGATCTGTATGAAATTTACATGTGTCATTTAAATTAGTCAAGAGAAGAATCCTATTGAATTTCAGCAATTTCCGTTTATTACTTCTAGAGTTATGGCCCTTGTGTCACTTTGTTGACGCTCTAACCTCTAAAGTTAACTGCCGATCTGTATGAAATTTATATGTGCCAATTAAGTTAGTAAAAAGAACAATCCTATTGAATTTAAGCAATTTCCGTTTATTACGTCTAGAATTATGGCTCTTTTCACTTTACTGAACCTTGTGAACGCACCAACGCCGAAAGTTATCATCGGATCTTTGTGAAATTTATATGCATTATTTAAATTAGTGAAACCACGAAGCCTATTGAATTTCAGCACTTGACAATAATTACTTCTAGAGTTATGGCCCTTGTTTCACTTTGTTAAACCTTGTTAATGCTCGATTGATGAAAGTTATCATCCAATATGTATGAAATTTATATGCATCATTTAAATTTGTGAAACAAAGGTCTATTGAATTTCAGCAATTTCCATCAATAATTTCTAGAGTTATGGCGATTTTTGAACGTTTGAATGACAAAAGTGATTGTGATCTGTATGAAATTTATATGCATTATTTAAATTAGTAAAACGTAAAAGCCTGTCAAATTTTTGTAGATTACTTCCAGAGTTGAGACCCTTGTTTCAGTTTGTAGAACCTTTTAAACCCTCAAATGAGAAAATTTATAATCTAATCTATATGGAACTGTCTTGTAAAGGCCCCAATTACCTACAAAGGAATAAATATGCGACAACCCTTGTCGACTGCTCGGACGATTTAGCTGCTGTGGGCGTATGTTTCGTTGCCTGACAACCTATTTTTTTTTTTCAGAGTTTATTGGATTTAAAAGATAGATTTGGTCATTTTCTACATGAATCTTTTAGTGATGATAAATTATTTAAACAGATGATATCAGGGGACTTCGAGTATTTTATCAATTTAAACGGCAAATCACCTGAATATTTATCATTATTTATAGATGATAAACTTAAAAAAGGAGTTAAAGGGGTAAGTTTGTAATGAACATTGTGCAGTCTAATATATAGAGAATTGGAGACCGCTGTAAACGTCTTTATATACTGACTTTGTCTTGTCAGTAATTGATCGTATTTACATTTTGAGATGTCAATTGTTTACAGTGCTTTTCAAACTGATTCTGTTCCCGATTAGATTGATTTGTAAATGGGTCATTCCACAAATGAGGGGTCCGATTGAAAATTCATACATATCATTGCTCAAAGCAGCAGAAACACCTATTTACTGATCACCAATTGTTTAAAAAAAGTAATTGATCATGTAATATGTTTATTATTTTATACTTATGTTCTATTAAAACATAGAAAATTGGTTTGAGGTTAAATTTTTCTATGTTGCAATTCGTGGTGTCCCTGAATTTTTGTGTTACGTTTTGGGGACATTTTGTACTCAACATTTTAACAACTGGACCATGTTGAGCACAAGACTTAATATTTCAAAATATTTTCGTGAAACATGCAGCAGAGAATCTAAGATTTTGTTTGCTAATTTTTCATTTCTTAACAAATGGTAAGTAATCTCAGTGGGAGGATTTTTATTCATGTCTCACAACGTAAATTTTTGTGTCCCCAATATTTACGTTGTGTATTGTTAAGTTAGCCACGATGTTTCATCTTAATTCCATTTGGATGACGTTGTAATAAATAACAAATTCCGAAAACATAAGCAGTTGTATTGTGTAAAATTGTCTGTGAAAATTTTATTAGCTTTGTCGATATTGAAAATCGAGTCCCTCAATCAATTTACAAAGTGCTTGTTTATGCCGCTGGTAACAGGGGCGTAAAAAAAATTTTGAATCCACTAGCCCTGGGCCCTTATTCACGTAAACTTAAACTAAGATAAAATCGAAATTTTAAGAAATACTGCAATTCGATTGGCTGACCAGTAAAATCAATTTGCATATATCCATTTGCAGTATTTCTTAAAATTTCGATTTTATCTTAGTTTAAGTTTTTGTGAATAAGGGCCCAGGGCTAGTAGCCTACTGTCAGGCACTAGCCCGGCATTAATATCCACTAGTCCATAGTTTGACAAGGTACAAGATCAAGATTTAATCTTCAATATTTGGCTGTCCAACCTCGTGGGTTTTCTCCGGGTCCTCCGGTTTCCTCCCACTGCTAAAGACCCCTACGTGCAAGCAAATTAATGAAATAAAATTAAACCATATGTTAGTCCCGAAATGACCTATTTTGTGTCGAGTGGACGTTAAACTCCATTTCTCTCTCTCTCTCTCAATATTTGGGCATATGTTTTGTTGCCTGCCAACCTATCATTTTTAATAAAGATTGCAGACTTGATTGCCTAATAATTAAGGATGTATACAGCTACTCGGTTAACTGGTCACGGTTCGGTTGCACTGGTGAAACGGTTCAAAAAACTACAAACCGATATTCGTTTTCATATCATATCTGACCTTCAAAACCAGGAATGGTAGCCACAACAATGTTTTCTTTCACTAAAGACCATATAAATACTTCATATAGCACATGTCATTTATAATATATCACGGTAAATTAATGTCCTTTAATTCCCGTTGGAAGATTTGTATACGTTACGTTATTATTAGCACTTACTGCAAAGTACGAGATAGCCACGACTGATTGACAAATTAATTGTTTTACGGTATTTATTTACCTGGTCACTTTATAAAGAGTCTCAAAATGAAACAAATCAGTTTGATGTGCTGATATAATATTAAAATAGACATAATAGTAAAATTGTTTATATTATCACTCGAGTGCCATCTTGTGTGCCGATAGGGTCAAAGTTGACGACACACGGGTCACTGGAACCATTCATCATGGTGTGTATGTGTGTGTGTAATGAACACGTGTAGTAAATTCCTTGGAAATACCTGAATTGTTAATTAATCAAAATTATCTTGTATTTAAAAATACAAAGGTATGCTTTCAAATATTTATGTCAGAACTAATCTAATATAAAGCATAAGTTAGTCTTTTGTTTTTAAATCAACCTGATTTCAACTGGTTTATACGAGACCTGTCAAAGCGTGCAAGATGGAGAAATGAAATGTCAAGAATGAATGAATAGAAGGCGTACAAAAAATGTCCATAGGGCTCTTAGTTTTACTACAGAAAATCTATTCTTATGATTGAGTTTTGCATGGAATTTGAGAAATAAATGTGGGATGTTTTACAGTTTATTTATCTATTTCGTCACTAGTTTAATTCACAAACCAATGAAAGGGCACTGCCCAGGACTAGTACGGCTAAAAAGATCACTAGCCCGTAAGTTATTTTTGGTAGCCCCGGGCATCGGGCTAGTGGATTTTTACAACCCTGGCTGGTAACGCCCTCTATTAGCTGCGAATTACGTCAGAGAGAGATGTTTAGTTTATGGTCACATGATAGACTTAGCCGAAGCATCCAAAGGCCCGGCGAATGGATATTTTCTGAATGAGTTTGAATCAAAGTTTAGCATCCCTGTATTTACGTTGTTATAGAAATTACGTTGTGATGTGAATTTACCCCCTGCATATGACGCATAGATGCCGAACGTTATAATAACAGTATTCTTTCATAAATGAAAATTATCGCTTCCTTGATATTCGGGGATCACGTGACAGAATGGTCGCGGTGTCAGAATATTATTATGAAAATGGGAAACCAAAACTTTCGTGTTCCTATTATTAACTAGATATTGTATTAGTATACGCGTATGTAACCAATCCTACATTATTTTCTTTGCTTTCTGGTAAACAAGCTAACAATCTTGAAATGTTACCTTGCTCTTTTCAAGTCTTTTGTTTCATTGTTTTGGCTAAAAGGATTAACAACATAAGCTATTTAAAGGGACACAACCAATTCTCAAAGACTGCTACTTATTTTTATTGTTGAAAGTTTCATATTTTCTTTATATTTGAAAGTATATTTATTTTTCAAGTTTTAAAGGAGAAATACTACATAATATTGTTTGATTTAATTATTAGTAGGCAAGTCATCAACATTTGGTGTCCCTTGACACGTGAAACTGCAGTACTCCGAATCACAGTAAACCTTTCCATGTTGATTTTTCATGATAACTGATTTACAAGTAGTTCATATCGATTGTTAATCTTTATTTTATTAAAAATCTACAGAAACTGTTCAGTTGGTATCGGGATTTTGGGAATATCAATGTAATCGACATTGACTGGCTAGAGGTGTTGGCACAAATATACACTATTTCTGCTTAGACTTCTAATAAAGGTGCCTCGTTTCAATAAAAATAATACATCATAAACACATCAGTATATCTTATATTAGGTGGAAAAGGTGATTTTGAGATTATGATTATACATTTGATTTTATTAGCTTTCCAAGTAGATCTCATCATTCTTCTCACAAAACATTTTACAGATTCAAAATCGGATGAAAACTTTTTTTTTTATTGAGGTTCAAAGTTGCGATTTTTGATTTTTCGCGGAAGAAAGGTTTTTCAACACTTTGAAAAAGCCATTTTTGGTGTTTTTTGTGATGCCATATTTCATTTCATATCAAACCTATTAAAAATGAAGATGTAAATTCATGAAATACAACTTTAAGGCTAATTATGCTTCAAGTTTCACATTTTTGTAATAATTACACCGATTTCCACAGTAACTGCAAAATACATAGGTTTTCTCAAAAATTCCATTTTGTCAGAGCGATTTTGGTCAATTTTTTCATCAAAAATGGTCTTGTGCATGTTATATCTGAAATTTTGAACCTGGTTGTTATGCATTTTAAAATCAGTAGCTATCAAGTATGATTAACAAAAAAAAAAAGAGTAAAAATATATATATGCCTTCTCTCAAGAGCTGAATATATGTTCATTTTTTAACAATTTTCCGCGGCACACAATTGCCTATTTTTGGGGCGTTTTTGGGACATTAATAAAATAAGAAGGAATGGAGATACACATGTGAAATTATGGGAAAATGTCAAAAAGTTTGTGAATTTTTAAAATCACTTATTTCCAATCCGCCATATATTATCAATTTTGGTTGTCATAGCAACCAAAATGGAAAAAATGCAATTTTTGACCATTTTCAACGCTACTTACCATAACCCAAAAGGTCATCACCACATTTTAAAGTAAGCAGTTTAAAATATTTGAAACCCATGTAATATTAAATGATATGGATTGTGTAAGTTTGAGAAAAATATGAAGGAGTTTGGGCTGTTACCATAGCAACCACATTTATTTTTTTCCGAAAAGCATTATTTTCCAATAATCATGACATCAATATTGATAATTGTATTATTTTAAAAACAGAAGCTATTGGACAAGATTTTAAAAAATAAATAAAATGAAAATATTTATATGTCTTCTCCCAAGAGTTGGAAAGGGGTTCCCTTTTGAAGAACATTCTGCAGTAGCTAGTTGTCCATTTTGGCCATTATTAAGACATAAATAAAATATAAAAGGAATTAAGATCTTGAAGAGAAATTTTGTTTAAAAGTAAATATGTTTGTGAATTTTTAAAATTACTTATCTTTACTCTTGTACATTACTTAATATTTGGTTTTTATAGCAATCAAAACGAAAACAAACACCCCAAAAAAGGCAATGTTATTCCATTTTCAATGATGTTTACCATGACAAACCAATTGATCGCCACATTTTAATTACAGTAACAGAAAGCTTTTTAGCATATATTTATAGCCCATGGCATGTAATATAAAATATTAAGAATTGTATAATTTTAGTGAATTATTAAGGATTTTGGATGGTTGTCATAGCAACCACATAATTTTAAAAAACGGACAACTGTTGTTGCATTATCATTGTTCTCAGCATTCCTTGCTTACATTATTGTTAGAATTCTGCTTTTACATATTATTTTCTACTCAGAAGATAACATTGACCAATAAAAAATTATTCTCTAAAGACTAAAAGTAGGTTACTCAGTTACTGATAGGCTATGGTAGGCCTAGTCATGTTTATAAAGGCCTAGGCCTAAAAGCTACAATTTAACTCAAAGAATTGTT